GTTGTTACTGTGGATTAAGGCTTTTCTCACCAGGAGGACTTTCTCTGTGCGCGTCAGTGGTAGCCAGTCTCACCTTCATCATGTAGCAAGTGGAGTTCCTCAAAGCTCTGTCTTGGGGCCAGTGCTGTTCCTTCTGTATACAAGTGACCTGCCCGCATTGATTTCCTCCACATGTTCAGCTTATGCCGACGACACCAAGATTTACAATACTGTCGTAAATTCTGCTATGCTTCAACGAGATCTTGATATTGTTTGTCAATGGTCAGTCAGTTGGCTTTTACCCTTAAATCTAACTAAGTGTTGTGTCCTTCACCTCGGGAAGACAAATCCGCGATTTACATACAAGATCTCTGACCACAACATCGAAGCAGTTTCCAGCCACTCTGATCTGGGCGTTGTAGTCAACGATCGTCTTTCCTGGTCAGAGCATATTCACCACGTTACATCAAAAGCCAAGAAACTTCTATACATGCTGGAGAGGTCTTTCAAAGGATCCGATGTCAACACTTGCGCCTACATTTTCAAGGCATTCGTGAGGCCAATTCTTGAATTCGCTGGCCCGGTATGGGACACTGTGCTTCTGCGCGATAGAAATCTCGTCGAATCAGTACAGCGTCGGGCTACTCGTATCCCTTTTGGAGCACGAAGACCAAGCTATGAAGATCGCCTTGAATTATTCAACCCGACCTCATTCTCTGAGCGAAGACTTCGTGGCGATCTTATAGTTACATTCAGGATACTTCATGGTTTGATGGGCACCAACCTCATGCATCTATACCGTCTGTCGCCCAGCAATCTACGCGGACACAGCTTCAAACTGCATAAGGAGCCATTTAAAACAACAGTCCGACAGTAGTTTCTTCCCAACCGCATATTCAACACCTGGAATAGTTTACCTGAAAGTGTGGTTGGTGCTACTTCAGTTAATAGCTTCAAAGTGCAGTATGATAGCTGGAGGAGTGTACAAACTTTATAGCTATGAACTGTCTTTTTTTATTTTTTTCTATTTGATGTATTTGTGTTACATGTCCGTACACTATATTTACTGCATGAGCTTATAGTACTGTGTACTCTGCTCATCTCAATTATCATAGTACTAGTAATAATAGTAATATAGTAGAGGAAAAAATAAACGAGCTGTCACTTGCAAGACGTGGAAGCCTGGAGTTCTACCAAACTAAGGCCCGTATCGTCAGTCGTCCCTACAATTGTAGGGCGCCTTTATGGCCTCGTTGATTGTCATAGTTTTCTAGTTATCCGTGTCAGCGCTCTATTTTGAGGTTATGTCACAAACATCTATTTGCATCAAATTGTGCTTGCTTTTGAGTTATATCACGTTTTATCAGCCTGAAATTTCCTACAATTTAAAAAGAAAACATATCTTCACAATAGGAGAGCGCTGACGCTGACCCGGGACAAGTGTAATCTAGAAATTTTTGAAGGAGAGAAAGGAGTATGACAATCAAGGAGGCCATAAACGCGCCCTACAATTGTAGGGACGACTGACGGTACGGTCCTAAAATATCTAATTTCAACGGATTCTGTCCTTTAAAAGTCAATAATAAAACACTTTTTCAAATTGACGTTGAATGTTGGTAAGAAAGCGACGACACGTAAAGATAAATATCCGCGCTTATCTCTTGGCGGCAAACGCAGCATCTGAGCAGTCCCCACATTAAATCATAAGCCGAGCTAACGAACTGCCTGTCTGCAGGGCTCATTTGCACCGGCACTCGACTTTGACGGTTTAAAATACAGACGCGCTCTTAGTTTAATTGGGATCCTCTACCTCTCTTCTCTTCATTCTTCTTTCCTCCAAAACAGGAAGGATTGCTGGCTGGCGCCTCAGTTCGCCGAAAACGCCGGAAGTTTTTCGCCGGATGTGATAATGACAAAGACGCAAAAACGACGATATTGACGGGTTATGGCACGTTGATTTTAATGAGCAGAGTGGTGCCGCCTCTTGAATGCGTTATTTTAATCCAATGGAAAAATGCGAACACATGGTGTTCATTTGAAAACCTTCCACCACGGATTTATCGAAAACCACTGATTACAAGAAAACACGCCTAAGTACTTGTCAAGGGGGACAACTTTTTAACCAAAAGCTACTTCACCTCCTTCCACCCTCGACCTCCCCCCCCCCCCCCCAGGGTCATTTCCTTGAAAACTTTAAATGACAAGAGGTATCGAGTAACAGCTTGTTTGAAAGGTCTTTCAAAGTCCTTTATTTTGACGGTTGATTTTTTAAAATCATTCGATTCGTTTTTGAGAAAATTATAGAAATCTTTATTTATCTTAATTTGTTCAGATAGAAAACAAAAATAGACGAAAATATCACTTTTTATTTCAATAAGTGTTCAAAATGTTGCCCGTTAGGGTTTGCCAAATCTACAATTCGTATATAATTTAAAACGGAAACTACCAACATAAACAGCAATTCGGAAGATTAGACGAGACAACAACCAAATAACAACCCGATTTTTTTCCCCCATTCTTTTCATCAACACAGATAGCCTGGACGAACTGTATTTATTGTTATACATGTTTAGTTATTCGTTGTTAAGGGAAAGGAAGGATTTAATTTGCTGTCAGTTACCTTTGTGACAATCTTGGGATAGTGAAACTTATTGAGTCAAATTTTACTTCCAAAATGGTTTACACAATAACCGAAAGAGTGAAAATGATTCTAATGTATGGTGTCCAAAATCAATGTACTCGGCAAACTGCCATCACGTTTAACGCCAGACACGCGGGGAAGATAACTTCGCACAGGTATGTTTTGGACTTACTCAAACTGGATGTGTTGCAAATAAAAATCGTGATCATCGGAGAGTTTTGGATGAAGTCGCCCAAGTTGAAGTTTTGGGTCATTTTGGAATAAATCATTACGCATAATTGTTGCTGCGACTGGTATTTCATTAAGCTCTGGACACGCAGTTACTAAACTCCATGAATTTCATCCTTTCAAAATGAAAATATTGCGAGAGTTAACCGAAGATGATTTCTATAGGCGAGTTGAATTTTGTGAACAAATGACGCAGCGATTAATGGTAATACCATTCATGTAAAGAATATCTGCCTCAGTGATGAATGCACATTTTATCTAAATGGATTTGTTAATCAGTATAACTGCAGGTACAATCTATCTGCTTGCGCTCATGCTCCGGCATAAAAAATGCTGTTCGGAGCTTCTATCTACGTATATAACAAGGCCATCCGGAAAAAGAAATATAGACAACTAATGCTCAGAAGCCAGCGAAAATTGGTGCTGCAGTTGGTATGCGCTTACAGAACGGTGTCGACCGATGCACTGCTGGTGGCAGCTGGTGTCCCGCCAATTGATTTTCTGGCTGTGGAGAGATGCGCGCTCTATAAAAAGGGCGCTAAAACTAAAAGCGACGAAAGTAAGGCGCGTTTGTCAGATGGCAGGAGAGATGGAATGCAACCGGCCTTGGTGCATGGACTAACAGATATTAAAACTTTGATTCAGAAAAGAGCGATGCGGATAGATTACTATACTGCACAGCTCCTCACAAAACATGGTTGCTTTGAAAGCTACCTGAAGAAGTTAGGAAAGAGAGAGTATGCGAACTGCGTATATTGCAACGAAAAGGGGGATTCTACTAGTAATTTTTACTTGAATGTGAAAGATGGGCTGACTACCAGAGACAGCTGGATTGACACTCCGCGAGAGGCTCACTGCTGACAATTTTCCCAGGCATGATATTCAACCAATAGAGATGCAAATGATTCTGAGCAAAGTACTGGATGATAAAAAGAGACCGAGGAGTCAATAATAGGTTTTTACTTGTTGGGACGTATATGTACATATATACGTATAGGTGCTTATACATATGTACGATGATGAGAATAAGATGACTGTGATTGTGAAGTCGCTTCTGGAGGATCTCGCACCTCGCGCAGGTCTTTCCTGCGGCCAGTCTGTCTGTCTGTCTGAGATAGGCTATAAAAGCTTTCCTCAGTCAAAAAAGAACCATGAGTTTTAAGTGACCCATCTCGTACTGCTTCAAACTTCCTAGTGACGCCAACGTTTTTTTATAGTTTCTTTTTCATACAGTAGTTAAGAAGGATTTTATATGTAGTTAAAATACATTGATCGTTATAGCAGCTAATGATCATGACTACATTTGATATCACTTAAGAATTGAACAAATTATCAACTTTCTACTTCAATGGCAACGATGTCCAGCTTTGTTCCCGGTAGGCAACGCTTGTGTGGCAAATTGTCAAAAGTAGGTGGGAAAAAAGAGATTTGATAGAGAGTTTTTCATGAGTTCATTACGTATTTACGTCTATTCGCCAGTCATTTATCTCTGTCTATTTATATCCTTAGATGTTACCTGCACTCTAACTAGCGCCATCTAGGTTGCCAGATTTCTCCGCCGATAAGGAAGGGTGAGGAAGTTTTGTAATTGCGAAGAATTCGTGTCATGTACTTCACAAAAAAACATCGGTTTGTCTGTCGGTCTGGCCGCTAATCCTTGACCCCTCTATAACTTAGAAAGGCCGCTTGGGGTTTGATGAAAATTTGTATTCCAAGAATGAAAATGCTCCATAGTTTTTGATCCAGTGACGGAGTTACGGACAAACAAGTGGGAAAATAAAAATTGCTCAAACTTCGTGTTTGACATTTCAGAGGCTCCCGGGTGGGGTATAAACCACTCACCTTTGATACCAGTGAAATTCCTTTTATTATTGTGAATAAGCTTCTGATCCCTATAATATTACGCATTCCCTAGGTATAACAGGCTGACATATGTTAAAGGGCTGGTGAGTCTAACCATGCTACAGATTAACACGTAGTAGTGCAACAGTCCGATGACCACTATTCAGAATGTGTTGAAGTATCACAGTAAATAGCGTAATTCATTCGTCTGCAGGACCCCTCCTGCAATATTCTATTAATGGAAACATTCAACATATTACTTCGTGATAAGGGTAATTCTGGTAGAAATGACACACTCATAAATGCTGTGCGAAGAGAAATCTATTTTACTACTGTTAAAAAAAATCAGATTAATTAACACTACGAGATTCTGGTGTTCACTAGTCGTAGATTAATTTGCAAATCTTTCTTGTTTCTCTCTATCGTTCGCCTTTTTCACCTTGTAATTGCGATAAATCAGTTCCATTGCAAAAATAATGAAACTAATGCCTAGACCAATTCCAAATATGACAAAAGCAGCATAACAGTCAATAATTCCTGCACTTCCAAAGTTGCTTCCTTTCGAGTGACATACAGGTTTCTTCATATAGATTTTGTCTTCTTCTCTTCTTTGAATGCCTGATTCAAGGATCCTTTGAGAACTAAAAAATAATTAGCTTTAAATCAATGAAATTTATGACATTTCTGTTTAAAATGATTCTTAAATTTAACGAGTCATATTTATATGTTTATAATAATACCAACCCTATTTTCATGAACTCTTTGTAGGCAGACCTCTTTCTGATGACCATATGTGGATCCAGCATGTTAATAAAAGGTATCTCCTTCAAAGCACACTTTTGATTTTCCCTGAAAGTGTCAGCCACGATTTTATAAGCAACCGATAGTTCGGAGTGGAAACCAAAAACTCATTGCGAACTCTGGATATGCCTTCTTCCAAAGACATGAATTTAGCCTTTTGTCCTTTGGGTGCTACTTTCTGTTGGTAAATAGCCTTTCGTATTGAGTCTTGAGCATGCTGCGAAAAATGCCTTCAGATTGCAAATTCAAATACACAGAAACATTTCGTATAGAGTGGCACGAATTCTTAAACTATTTTATTACTTATATTAGAATAAGATTAAATTCCACAAACCAAACTATCTACTCACCTCAAAATAATAATGATTATACACGACATCGTGAACTCCCAAGGTCATTCTGGAGTTTAGCAGGTCTTCTAGTGTTCTAATATTTTCAGTAGTAGATTGTAGGAGAGCTACAATGTTCGCCGAATAGGATGTATAAAGAAACATCAAAGAGATCAATGCTATAAAATAAGCTGTTCGACCTGCGCTACTACGAGGCTCTGTATCAGATCTGAAAAAATGCATCGAGAAAATTCTACCAATATTATAAGCTCATTCTTGATGTACTCTGTATATTGAAGTGGAAACATTTTTTCTCGTCAAGAATATGTCAATGGAATTTATTTCGTGAACTCTTATTCATACTTCTTACTCTTACTATAATATACAGGGTGTTCCAAAAAACGTGGCAATATTTCTAGGTCATAAAGAATCAAGGATAACACGAAAAGCTCTCATAAATATGGGTTCTAGAATGCTCCCTTAGATGCAGGGTGTTTCAATTTTGAAATCGGAAAAGCTATATGTTCAGAGTGCGCCCAAACAGCAAAGCAATACATACAAAGATGGCCATGCTTGAGACTACACCGGTGGCGTAGAAATATAGAGGTTTTGGCCCCTACAAAGGAAAAAAGAAGACTCTCAAAAATCTGCTACATTCTTGAATAAGGCATTCAATTTTATATGAGTCTCGTTCCACGAGAAATTTCTGTCAGACTACTATTTTTAAAGAAAAGTTGGTCTGAATAATTGTGGTGTGAAATCCATATAAAAGACTTCAACACGTTCTATTTTGAAAAGCCGCTGATGTTAATGAAGTTTAACATTGAATATTGCTTGTAGTGTATTAGGAGGGTAATTCTGGATCACCATTTCATCAGTAGCGAAGAAATTTACAGCGCCCTTCAGCTTGGTAATGAGACAATTTGGGACCTACGCTTATACGAACTCCTTTTCTTATTTTTGGATGGACCTCCTGCCCCAGAGATACTGCCAATTTTCTCTAAAACACCTAAAAGGAACACTAACCCTTGCTGGGTGATAGCACCTATCTCCATAACCGCCACATCCAATACATCAGGTCTTAGAGCAACATGGGACGTCTCTATTTTCTTTTTGAACACTGGGTTTTTCCACTCCCAGATGACGATGAAGTATATTACGACGAAAATAATGGCGCAAAGCACAAAACTGGAATGCCACACATGTGTATTGAAGGGTAAAGTGAAGATGTTGGTGACGTAAGAAAGCGGCGGTGCCCTGAAAATGAAATTTTGTCTAAAAAAATCTGCTTATGTAACATGATAATTCAGATATTATACTCATTCCTTGAAGCCCTACTATTACCTATTACTTTATTACATCTAGACCCACCTCTTCTGAAACAAAATTATACAATACCTGAATATAAATTTCATGAATGTTGGTGTCCAAGCAGGTATGTAATCTACGTAGTCTATTCGGTCGGGCGTATAAAAACATTGGGTACCTACAAGAAAATTAATTTATTCATATTGTTAAAATATGTGTAAATTCGTTTACTGGTAAACTTTACCTCCAAACTCAGAAGTTCCATTCTGCAGATCGCCCAGCATGCCAGAAAATTTGTTTGTCTCAAGATCACGATATCCCCACGTATTCACCCATCTCATATTTGCAGTTATGTTGAACATATTTAGAAGATGTCCAACTCTAATCCAATTCACTTTTGTTAAGGGATCTATATGTTTTTGTCTAAAAGAGATACGCCTTATTACAGTTGAACCAAAATTTAAAAAACCATTTCTAAACGCGATTTTTTACTTTTAGACACCATTATCTCAATATGTCTGTTTTTGAGTAAAAGTTACAGTTCGAAAATAGAACCACGAAATCTATCGACATAAAACACACAAAGCGCCATCTATGCTGTGTCTTCGTTCGTTGTCCCAAAGACTAAGCCTAGACCATCCTTATGAGTTGCAAAAAGCACGAAACAGCTGTGTGTGGTCGGATGGACGGAAGTAGCATGTCTTGTGGCTCAATGGCGATTGAACCACATTTACGATACTACCAGAAACATCAGCCTTTAGCGGTGACAATGGTGACTGGGCTACCAAACGCAAACTGAGAATGTTTATTAGCTGCTGCACGCTCTCTTCAGTGATCGATTCTGGTAATAGATGGCACGATGCGCTGCGTTATTCCGATAAATCTTATACCTCGGGTAGAGAATAGTTGCTACGAGTCCATTCGTTGACTCAGAAACCAAGCCTAGACCATGCCGATGAGTTGGCAAAAAGCACAAAACTGCTGTCCATGGTGGCTGTCTGTGGCACAGACCAGCTATTTGAAATTTATGGATATTCGATGTACTTACTTATTATATTCAATATGAAAATCTCTACAAAAATTATTTTGCCTAAATGCATGTAAGCAAATGGTAAATTTCTTGATTATGTAGTTTGAAGTATGAAACGTAACCACCCGGAGAAATTCCTCCGTACGCCCATGGAATTAGGTATGCCTCTGGTCAAAAGCAGCGTGTTTAGAATGATGACTCTATAAACATGCCAGCTCATGAAATCTAAGATGGTTTCAAGCGAACTATAGCTACGTTATATTGTTTATAGTTGACTTATTTTGCTGGTAGCGAAGTATTTATTCTAGGTGCGGATGTATCTGATTTTTGTTCCACATGAAAGTGTTTGATGCTTTTCTAGGTACCTGTAATCTTCTAAGTGTTCCAATGTCTCAGAATCCGTTGCTACGAAAGTAACATTCATCTCCAATCCTCCAAGGTTAGACCTGCTCAACATCGCGATGTCTGAAAACGTTGTAAATCCTTGTGTTGGATCATAAGTACCAACAAAATTTTCTAACATTTCTTTAGTATTTTCCCCAATTCTGTATACAGATCGCGTCATATATTTATCATTAACTTTTGTCACAGTATACACTCTACTGTCAACTCTGAAGTAATACCTATACAGTTGGTCATGCGTAGGTGTCCAAAGAATAAATCTTATGGGATCTCTGAAGAGGTCGCTGTCGTGAGCCTGAAATTTTATGATGATTGCCAAGGTTTGAAAGAAGAATCGTGATAAAAAAACCAGTACCAAATATTTTCAAAAATGTCAGTTTGTAAGCTTTAACTGACAGGTACAATACAAAGTATAAATTTTCGAAAAATCAATGTAAAAACTTTGCGGTTAGTTGTAAAATGCACAGTATAATTTTGGAAGCTGATGGAGGTGTTCTTTCTTAGACTGTTTGGGCGCCACATACTTGTTTCAAAACGTGTTCACTTCCAGCACATTTCATGTCTAAAAAGTACAACTGATGTTGTTCTTCTTTGAGATCATGTATCAAATCACTTTTGCTCAGCACTAACGTTGGATAATCTTCTGACAGATTTTTCCAAAAATGAAACACCCTATCTGAAATACGTAAAATCACCTGTACCTTATATAATAGTCCAGTTATATAAACTATCAAAGAGGGTCAACCTCAGAATGAGATACAGTAAGGTGTAAACTTGTAGAAACCTGTATTTTGCCATTCTAAAGGTTGTCATAAAAGTCTCATGAAATCACGCGGTCAAGGTCACAGGTCACAAAAATCTGCTTTTTGCAAAGATATCGATATGAGTTACAAACTATTTGCATTTATTCTGAATATTGTACAACTTAAAAAAAACGATTTTTATGACGTTGGCGATTTGATATCTTAAGACGCGGACACCATATTTCCCGAAACTTTCCAGACCACTTTTGGCATGACAAAATAGTTTTCTACGAGCTTACAGCTTATTATTTCTTATTCCGAGGTGAAACCTCCAATATGACTGCATCATAAATGTTTTGAACGTACACGTTTCAAGCGAATGTTGTACAAATGTTTTAATCTAAGGTTTGAGTATTGAAAAAATTAAGTGTAATATTCCTAATCTCTGTATCCATAAATATGCTTACCTCTCGGCCAACATACATACGCAACGAGGTTCGTAGATACATTTTGCTTCATGCAGAAGAAGTCTTGATGAAAGCATATGCGTCTGATGCGTCATGCTGAATCGAAATTCTAAGAAGAACTTGTAGGACAAGCAGTGATTTTAAGAGCATCTTTCTAAGCAAAAATGATCGATGTTTCATGGTTTATAGTAGTTTCATCAAGGATTATTCATATAATCCAGTGGTGGCATCATAGGAAAGTTCTGTTTTTTTTTTCGCTTAAGTAAATAGTGAAAAATTGTAGTGTTAAAACTTCATTTCAGTTCGATGCATTTTATTTAAAAAAATGGGTATAGTCAAAACTACATAAAAAATTGCCCCAATGATATACAAATCTCGATCAGTCAAATTAAAGCATATTGATTCAAGTCACCTTAGCCAAATTTCTACATCGATGGGCCGCCCCTAGGGACCCCTATTTTCACAAACGTTGTTTTCGAAATCAATTTCTAATTTTCAATTCAAATATCCAAAAAATGTCCGATGCTATACTGTAACATCCTACATAATCGCGACTTTTTGTAGATTTATGAAACTTATATGTTAGAGGATAAACATTTTTGAAATATTCTTCAGAAAAACCGCATTTTCACCGATTTTTTACATTTTTAATGGGATATCATAAATTGTATAACTTAAAAACCCAACATAAATATATTTTTTCGATTCTTTTGGATTCCATAATTAAAATTTCGGTTTGATTCCCGGACAAATACTAAAATGGGAAAACCGCATTTTCACTTAAATTGGCTAAGATGATTTAACCCCATATACCTTAACTTGGATTGATAAAGTTCGTATACCTCTGCTGCAATTGTCACATGTAGTTTCGCCTGTAGCCTGTATGAGGATCCAAAGTCTGAGTCTGTATATCAAAGTCACATTTTAGTGGGACCAAAAGAGGAGATAAGATAAATGTATTCACATGGAAGCAATATTACAAGCATGAACAAAGGAGCTTTTGAAGGAAATGGTTTGACAAGTCCTGAGTTTGTTATAGAAGAACTACTAGATCTACGTGATCCAGCTTGCGTACGTTTGTTTCGTATTTGGACAGAGAGCTTGATAATGTAGTGAACTGGGTATTTTGAACTGACTTTTTATTCATCCCTACTCCACTCTTCTCAATAGCCTATAATAGCCTGATAATTAAATCCAGAAATAACTAGACGCTACTATAATTATGGCTATGGGACTGAAGCTTACCTATTGGAGCTACTTGGCGAGTTATTAGATTTTAAATGAATCATGTTGAACATACATACCTCCTTCCCACGTTTCGTTAATAATATAAGTGTAATTATATGGATACTGCGGTGAAACAAGTAATTATGGGGACTATTCAAACGTAGGAGCTGCTTTTAAAAATGGTGAAATGCGCATAAAACTTTAGGAAAGGCGTAAAACAATCAGATCAAGTAGATTGACTATGCGATTCTAGTCATCGTTCGTCACTGGTGTGTTAACTTTAAGTTATTTGATTTAGTATAGGTGTTGGAAAAGGTGGTCAATAACGAATAAAAAAGTAAGTATTTTTAAGCAACTCCTAGACCCCTATTAGACCGGGAGGCATTTTAACCCTGTGGTATAGGATTCGGCACCAGGCTTAATTTTATTGGTCAATTTCAATTTATTCAACCAATAACAAGCCGGGTGCCGAAATCACTACCGGAATGTTAAACAGTGCTGAGCATGGGGTCAGAAAGTTATCAATTTAAATTTAAATTTACTAAAAATACGTAACGCAGGTGTTTCCTATTACGATATTTAATGATTTTAAAATAATAATTTGGTTTAGCAATAAGAAAAATCCCATGAAAAATTTAAAATTATATATTATAGAAAATAACTGAATTTAAAAAGAATGCAAGGAAATGTAAAAATCTAAAAAATCATATACTTTTTCTGGATTTTTGTATAAATAATCCGCGGGTGGAAAAGTGGTATTTTCCTCCCATGTAATGTAAGAAGCTAAATTCTAATATCTATACACAGAGTGTATTTTCTCATTCAAGTACAGCATTTATCATTTCAGGGAAGAAATTATCACTTTCGTGAAAAGGTAGTAGAAAATAAACATATTAAATGTGAATGTTTATTGGTCCGTTCAAAAATAAACAAGAGAATTAAAAAAACAAGAATATTCAAAAATAAAAAAGAAAATTCGAAAATTAACAAAATAATAATGTAATAGGTTTTAGTGACCTGTTCCATAAGACTTAGCATTCGGTAAATTTTGCTTTACATTGAGTGCTCCTCTTTCTTTTTCTTGGTGCGCCTTCTTCCTTTGGTGGCCGACCAATCGGTAACCTTTTGCAACCCCTTGTAATCCCTACTTATTTCAGGTCAGTCATGAAGGCAACCTCCCCGACCAAAAAACTAAATAACACACAAATACTCCAGATTTCCTTAAAAATAATTTCATCAACTGATTTCCTCTTTGAAGTCAATATTTTTTCATCAAATTAATATGGGACTACCCAGAGGCATTTATACCCTTTCATTTAAAAAATAATTATCATAATCGGATAAGCCATCTTGAAAAAATCGGTAAAATACACATAGAAAAAATTATAGCTGACGAATTGAAAACCTCCGTCTTTTGGGAAGTCGGTTACAAATATATTTGCATTCGTTTAAACATATTATGCCCTTCGTGCGCCTTGAATTTTCGAAGTAGGTATTCTGAAAATTAGATCTAACCCCAACAAGAACAATCTAGCTCGAAAACATTCAAAAAAATCTAGCTCCAAAAATAAAAAAGCTACGGTCGTGATTAGAATCAAATAAATAGTCCTTTGCAATAACAATACCCTTACCTATATACAAGGCGACGCGGATTGCGAGACCACATTTGAATCGCCAAGTTGTAAGAGTTTCTACCTCATAATCTCTCAGCCACTGCATAGTGCCCTTCTTCGTCTGTAAACTTTCCCCTGTATATATTGTTTTTTATTTTAACGCAAACCTTCCATTGTTCTGCTCAACTCGAAACGTATTAAAAACGATGACGCTTGAACTTTGAGGTTATAATATCTAACGTATACTGCGTAAACGATAAAGAACTTCCTTACGCATCGGCGACCTTCGAAATTCCGAACTGTATTTCGGTAATCCTCAACATTCGGGTAGTGATTTCAGCACTCGATATATGTATTAATAGAGGCAATTTAAATTGATAACATTCTGACACTGTTTCAGCACTGTTTAACATTCCGGTAATGATTTCGGCACCCGGCTTGTCATTGGTTGAATAAATTGAAATTGACCAATAAAATTAAGGCTGGTGCCGAACCCTATACCATAGTGTTAAAATGCGACCGGGAGCTGTGGGCAAAAATGGGGGGGGTCATGTGATACAGCAGGAAACCTACTCAGAACTACATGAAAAATTAACTTCTAGCACAATGCCGTCACTTGAGAGCGGTACATGTAAGTACAGGGGAAAATTAATTTCTGTCCAGAAGGGGGCGGAAAAGACTAAATGATTTTTTACGGCTTTCTTTAGTATCACAGATTCCAACAAAATAATCACGATGCACTTAGTGCCGTACGGAAATAATGGGTGCCGGAAGCACATACGGCATTGTTACAGTTACCTTCCAACTAAGGAGGCATGAAAAAGTTGCAATATTATTTCAGCAAGAAGAAGACAGTACAGCCCACTTACGAATTAAATAAAATTCAACTTGCTGTTCTAAATAATTGTACAAAAAAAAACTGGTCAAATGAAATTACTAGCTTTTTTACCAAATAATTTACGGTTTTTCACATACCTACACAGTACGTATGCCTGTAATACGTGTATCAGATTCTGAAAAGATGCAAATTTCAAAATTACGTATAACTTTTATGTATGTATCTTTATTTATGTAATACATGCTAAACAAACACATTTTAAGCTCTTAATATGTTATTTCTGCTGCTTTTTCACATTAAAAAAAGTGTTTCTTTTAAGATGGTCATCCGCCTATAATAGACTATTTGTCACAGTCCCGCCGAGTCCATTATAAGCGGGTTTACAATTTTTTGAAGAAATTGTGTATTTCCTGGCCTAAGACTGCTATACGATATCGTCCAAAAATAAATCTGCATCCATCGGGGTAGACGGTGCGACAGGCGACAACCGCAGCGGCCTTGTGGGCTGTAGACACTTAATAAAAGGCTGTCTACACAACGACGGCGCGCAACCGAGCCATGTGTTGGAATTCGGAAGAATTATGCGGCCAACGGGAAAAATTAATTGCGCTAATTAGAGATGCGGTGATGGGATGCAGGAAGGAATTCCTCAAAATCGGTCTCTTTCAGGTTGTGAGTTGGACGAATATTTTTACCAACCATATTTTTCCTATGAGACGGTACTATGCCCGTATGCACCGTTTTCAGCCGAGGTTTTAAACATGTTTGTACAACAATGAAAACTACTTAA